CTTTCGATCGGGGTTAAGAATGGAATCTCATGAACCAGGCCTCAAAACTAACATTCTTCACGTCTAACCTGCTCTATATACGACTACAAACATGTATGCAAACGTCAAATGGATTAATAAATGCATATTAACAAGATTGGATTTAAACAAACTATACCGAACGATGCAACTTGTATGGACGACCCAGGCGCGCTCCAGGCCAAGGTGAGGAATGGAGATGACTCCTAGGGACCTCAGGAGTGCAAAGATGGCACGAGATTGGATGGAGGAATGCCGGAGATCATGTTTTGAATTTTTACAACTTTTGAACGATTTTGAGAATTTTGAGAGAGCTTTTGAAGAGCTTTTTGAAGAGTAATTTTGTGTTTCTTTGATAGGCAATGTGTGTGTGTGTGTGTGTTTTTCTTTCACTTTGGCTCTGTATTTATAGAGGAATAAAATGTCTCCACTAATATGGCAAGAATCAAACCATCAAACCATGTTTAAACCAAAATCAAACCAATTGAAAACATGCATTTTTTGAATTATTCTCTTGCCATTCTTAACATACAATGATCATGGACCTATGCCATGTATTTGCACGATTTCTTAGGCCCAATATTAATTCAAAACATCAGCCCATGTATCCAAACCATTTATCTATTATTTTATGCATTTTATTTTGTATTTATTTGAATAAAAAAATGAATAAAATATAGAAAAGTGAAAATCAAGGGGATGGTGAATTTGGGAGTCCTTGATTAAGTCAGAAGCATATTTTAATCTTAAAAAATAGGTCTATGAACTTAAAAATTCATTTTTTTCTCAAAGTTGACTTATTTGCATTTTCACCAATTTGCACTGGTCATAACTTTCTCTATTTTCACTGTTTGAAGATGATATGGGACTTTTTAGAAAGCTCAAGATGTCCCCTACAATCTCTATTTTTTTTACCATTTTTTGCATTTGGAGGATGTAACTTGCCTTGACAAAAAATACCTTTTCGTTGATTTTCAAAAAGACTTGTAATATATTGGCTCATATCTTTCAAATGAAGCATTTTTTGAACTTGAGAATAACAAATTTTAGAGGATTGGATTCTCTTCACAATGAGATTTGGTTGGGGGAAAATGGATGAAGCATGTGAAAGTTATGCCTGCTCAAAGTTCAGTTGACTTTTCCTAGGAAACCCTAATTTAGCAAATTTTGACTCTTGATGATTTGAGGACTTTCCTTGAGGAATCATGATTAACCCTTGATTAAATGATGAATATCACTTAAAAATGTTGATGTTGACCAAAAATCTTGAATTTTAACTGTTTGTTGACCACAATTGACTTTTGACCTAATACAGTTTGATTTTCAGTCATCTGAGCAATTGACTGAGCAAACTTGTGATGCAAGGCATAAAAATTGGCATGGACATTCTTGAGGAAATATTAGGAACCATGGAAATCACTTGAGGCCTTTGAAACCCAAACTTCTTTGTGAAAAATGAAAACCTAGTTGGAAATCCATTGCTTTGGAGGAGAATTTGTCTGGTCAATTCTTGGTCAACCTTGAGCAATTTAGGACCTCTATAAGCATGTCTTGAAAAATGAGAGAGAAAATTTTGGGGTACAACAGACATGTAATAATTTTTCATTTTCTATTTGTCCTAGGTCTGCATTGACTATAATTGGTCGTTCAAGTTCTGTGTCTAGGAATTCATACGTTAGGTCTTTGGGTAGTGTTTTGAGTTCTATGGCTGGATTATTGGGACAATGTATAGGATCAGGAGTTAGCGCTAGGAATTCAATCAAATTTTCATCTTGATATTCACGACGCCAATTATCATCTTCTAGAATCGGAGGTATAGGAATCTTCAATACTTCCGAATAGGTAGTTTGTTGTTTCTCCATTTCTTTTAGGCATTTATCGATTACATCTAAGAAATAGCATGAATCATCGATGGCTGGTGCCTTAAAGAATTTAGACAGGATGGATTCAACTTTTTCTTCTCCGACTTTGAAAGTTAGTTTTCCATTTTAACACCTATGATGGCTCCTGCAGTTGCTAGGAATGGTCTACCTAATATAATAGGAATATTAGAGTCTTCTTTAATGTCCATGATTATGAAATCAGTGGGGATATAGAATTGTCCTATACGTACAGGAACGTTTTCTAACATGCCTAAAGGAAATTTTACCGATTGATCCACCAATTGTACGAATATCCTCGTTGGTCTTAGTTCTCCCATATTGAGTTTCTTGCAAATCGATAAGGGCATCAGACTAATATTGGCTCCTAAATCGCATAGTGTTTTGTCTATGACAAACTTTCTGATTATGCAGGGTATGGAAAAACTACCTGGGTCCTTAAGTTTAGGAGGCATGTTGTTTTGGATTATAGCATTGCATTCAGTAGTGAGCAATACAGTTTCATTATCCTTAAGCTTTTTCTTATTGGATAAGATTTCTTAAAAAATTTAGCGTAGGAGGGAATTTGTGTGATAGCTTCTGTAAAAGGTATGGTAATGTTAAGTTGTTTCAGAAGTTCAACGAATTTATTGAATTGCCTTACATTTTTAGACTTAGCAAATCTTTGAGGATATGGGATAGGTGGTTTATAGGGTGGAGGAGGCACATAAGGTTCTTCTTTTTCCAAGGCCTCTTCACCATCACCTTCTTTTTCTACTTTCTTCGGTTCAACTTCCTTCTCGGTTCCTTTTCCATGTTTCTAGTACATGGTTGGGTTCTCGACTCTAGGTTCAGTTGGTCCGCCTAATTCTGTCCCACTCTGAAGTGTTATGGCATTAACATGTCCCTTTGGATCTGGTTGTGGTTGTCCAGGAAAAGTTCCAGCTGGAGCAGTTGTAGCTGCTTGCTTTTGAGCCACTTGGGAGATTTGTGTTTCTAACATTTTGTTGTGTGTGGCAAGAGCATCAATCTTATTCGGCAGTTGCTTAATTTGTTCAATGATGTGAATATTTTGATTCATGAAATCTTTATTAGTTTGAGCTTGGGTGGCTACAAAGTTTTCTATCATTATTTCAATGTTGGATGAATCAGCAATTGGTAGCACATATGTCACGAATTACATATTGCTTTGGCCCCCCCTCAAGTCCCAGTTTGACAACCCCGTCGAGAGTGGATAAAAGGAAACCAAGGGTTGGTATTCGAAGAGGATCCAACGATTAATCAAGTGAAACTAGTTGCATAAAATGTTTACAAAGTCAATCAGGGGCAAAGAATCAAATAACCTAGGATCAAACAAGAAATACCAAGGGAAGTCCAAGCCCTAAGAGTCGTGATGGTTAATCGAAACCAAGATGCTAGCGAAGTCCTTCACTGTGTTCGATAGGACAAATATCCAAGAAAATAATCGGGCAGCCATGGTCGAAAGAATAATGACTTGAAATAGGGTAAATATAGGCTTTCAAAGTCCAAACTACACTTCCCCTTTGTCTGTATATAATTTACAGACTAAATTACCAAGGGGATGAAAAGTACCAAAGTTCATAAAGTTTCCTAATGATACCAGTTAATCCATCGTCGAACACATAACCAGGTATTTGACCGAGACTGGGAACATAGCCAATAACGAAAACCTAAGGATAAAATATTTTCCTAGTTCTTTAACCAGGAACACCTTTACTTGGTTTACAACTCTTCTAGCGAGTTCTATCCATGATTGAACTCGCTTGGAAAGACTATTCCATGAGTAGTTTTACATAGGACAATCAAAGATAAGACTGAAAGAATTGGCTAGCATTAGCGTAAGTTCGGTGAGTCAATAGATGATTATCTTAATAGATTCTGATTGTTAAAGGCGAGACGTTTCACCCTAGTGCCAGAACAAAAACCGATAGAAATGGCTGCGGGTGGTTTAGACTACTTCATTAGAAAGAAGCTAGATACCCAATATTTGAGGGATATGATTGCACAATCAACAATAGAAGCAGAGTACGTGGAAGCTGCTGAAGAAACAAGTCAAACAATATGGCTTCGCAGGATACTTGAAGTCATGGGAGAAAAACAAGATGAGACTACTAAAATTGACTATGATAACAAATTAACAATTGCAATGGCGAAAAATCTAGTGCATCACAGCAGGACAAAACATATAGCAATCAAGTATCACTTTATAAGAGGAGTTGAAGCTACTAAAGAGATCAAACTCGACTACTGCATGACAGATGATCAAATTGTAGACATATTCACGAAGCCGTTGCCGAGACCTTACGAGCTACGCTTTGAGTCACAGAAATTTACATCAAGGAGGATAGTTGAAATTGATACAAATTTCTAGAATATTCTTAAATATAATATGTATGAAAATAACATAAGAGACTAGAATTATAATGTGTATGAATATGGTAGAAAAATATAGAATTATAAGTATATGGAAAAGATAGAAGAACCTAGAACTATCATGACAACTCTAAAAAAAATTAAAATAATATAGAAATATTCACCCCATTAAAAAGTCGGTGACTTAAGTCTATAAATAGACATTTGATATCTTATAATTGATCATCCAAAAAATCTATGACATAACTTTCTTCTAAATAATTCTCTAAAAATATCTTTTATCAATTATCAATTAACCAATTAACAAATAGTTTATCACAATACTTAAGGAATACTTAGGCTTAATATATTATAATTACTTAGTAGTGTTTGACTACTAGAACAATACCAAAAGAAATAATTTAATTTGATTTTTTTGAAATCCTATTGAATAAATATGTTAAATTTGACACATCATGGTCGCTACTATTGTACTGGGCTTTTGCCACGTAAATATTTTTACGTTCGATATAATCTTGACCTAGTCGAACTTAACCTAGAGCATTTTTTTTTGGACTAAAACCTAGACCATTTAAAGTGTTTGTTTGCGTAATATATTTATAATCTTGACCTAGTTGAAAGAAGTTTTTTATAGGAACCTGAAAGAGTAAAAAATTCAAAACACCCCACTGTGTTCTTGCTCACGCTTGATTTTGATTTTCCAGCTTCTCCCTTTTACTTCAAATTATCATGACCAAAAAGTACGAAGGTCGTGCCGTAGGAATCGACCTTGGAACAACATATTCTTGTGTTGCTGTGTGGCTTGATGAGAACAATAGAGTAGAGATAATCCACAATGAACAAGGAAACAAGACCACACCTTCATTTGTTGCTTTCACCGATAATGAAAGGTTGATTGGTGATGCTGCTAAGAATCAGACTGCATCCAATGCAGAAAACACAGTCTTTGGTAAGTTTCTATTTTTTATCGGTTCAAAACTTCATCTATTTATTGTTGTTATTGCATTGCATTGATATGTTAATTGAATGATGAGGGCTTAGGTACTTATATTATAGTTCTTTTTCAGATGCCAAGAGATTAATTGGCAGGAAGTTTAATGATTCTGTTGTTAAAAAAGACATGATGTTGTGGCCATTCAAGGTGGTTGCCGGTGACAATGGCAAACCCCTGATTGTTGTTAAGTACAAAGGTCAGGAGAAGCATCTATGTGCTGAGGAAATTTCATCTATGATCCTCACAAAATTGCGGGAGATTGCGGAGAAATATCTGGACTCTCCAGTAAAGAATGTAGTTGTCACTGTGCCAGCTTATTTCTGTGACGCTCAGAGAAAAGCCACAATAGATGCTGGTGCTATTGCCGGTGTTAATGTTATCCGGATCATCAATGAACCAACTGCGGCAGCTCTTGCATATGGACTTGATAAGAGATCTAACTTTGTTGGAGAAAAAAATATTTTTGTTTTTGACCTTGGTGGTGGCACTTTTGATGTGTCGATCTTAACAATCAATGATAAGGACTTTCAAGTTAAAGCCACGGGAGGAAACACTCACCTTGGAGGAGAGGACTTTGATAACCGGATGGTGAAGTACTTTGTAGATGAGTTCAAGAGGAAGAACAAAGTGGATATTACTAGGAACCCTAGGGCTTTGAGGAGGTTAAGAACAGCATGCGAAAGGGCAAAAAGGGTACTCTCTTTTTCTGTTGTCACCACTGTTGAGGTAGACTCTTTATTTCAAGGAATTGATTTCTTTTCATCAATTACTCGTGCCAAGTTTGAGGAAATCAATATGGACATTTTTGAGGAGTGTATGGAGACCGTCAAGAATTGTCTTACCGACTCTAAAATGAACAAGAGTACTGTAAATGACGTTGTTCTTGTTGGTGGATCTTCTAGGATTCCCAAAGTTCAGCAACTATTGAAGGAATTTTTCAACGGAAAGGATTTATGCATGAGCATCAACCCTGATGAGGCTGTTGCTTATGGAGCAGCTGTACAAGCTGCTTTGTTGAGTGAAGGCTTTAAAAATGTTCCAAACTTGGTGCTGCGTGATGTTACATCATTGTCTCTTGGTAAGTTAGACTTCGGAGATATCATGAGTGTGATGATTCCTAGGAACTCTTGCATTCCCATCAAGATGACACAAAGTTTTGGAACAGTTGAAGATAACCAAACTTCCGTCTTGACTGAGGTTTACGAGGGTGAGAGAACTAAAGCCAGTGATAACAATCTGCTCGGTTCTTTTATTCTTTCTAACCTCCCGCCGGCACCTCGCGGCTATATTATCAGTATAAGTTTTGCTATAGATGAAAATGGTATTTTGACTGTTACTGCTACGGACAAATCCACTGGTAATATGAATGAGATTAGCATAAACAATTACAAAGAAAGGTTGGCTGCTGAAGAAATTACAAAATTGATTAAAGAAGCCGAGAACTTCCATATTGAAGATAAGAAATTCCTGAAGAAGGCGGAAGTAATGAATGCTTTAGATTACTGTGTTTACAAGATGAGGAATGCTTTAAATCAAACAAAGCATAATTCAAAGCTTCCGTCTAAAGATATCAACATGATCAATTCTGCAATTACGGAAGCCTCAAACTTGCTTGATAGTAGCCAGCCGGTTGAAATTGAGGTTCTTGAGAGTCATCTGAAGGATTTTGAGAGTATGCTTGAACATATTATTACAGGCAAAGAGTAACTTTTTATAGTGTGTCTTTCTGTTTAGTATTATATTTATCGATTGAAAGTTGTATTATATTTATCAAACAATTGAGATTTGATAAAGTTTGCTTACTGAATTTGTTACAAACATGGTTTAGATATTTCTCTATTGTTTCGGTTAATTCATAGTTTTACTATTTGATTAACTTGTTTATTGGTATAATTCCTATATGTGAGGATTGCTTGAAGCTGTTGCATTGCACCATGAGTAAAATTTTATGTTGTCTTCTCTGGACTTGTTATTTCTATTGTTGCTGTAGACTTGTAAAATGCATAAGAAACACAGATTCACCACTCTTTTAACCATTTATGTGACTTTGTACTTAAATATGGATAGTTTACAAGTTTCTTTGGCATAATGTATTGAGTGGAGTTATAAATGTTCATCTTAAATTTATGTATGCAACTTTAAATATTATTTTTGAGTTGGAAAAAAATCACAACAGGCGGTAAAGCCTCACTTAAAAAATTAAACACTCGTGTGTTTAAAGTTGAATTCGAACATCTACTCTGACAAAGTGTCTTTATTGTATATTAATGTATTATAAATGCAAAATATAATATACTAAATAAAAATTGATAAAGAAATTATTAATTACTTAATTTGTTTTGTATTATTAGACTAATTTGTTCATGGCCGCTAGAAGGCCTAGTAAGAGAAGGTCAAGAGCAAATGCTATAGAGACTTCATATAAAATATGTCTTGTCCACTATCATTTGGTGGTAGAGTTGTCATGATAAAATATGTTTTGTCCACAATTCTAGTCTACTTCTTATCCTTCTTCAAAGTCCCCACATATATCATTTATAAAGTCGAATCTCTCTTTAAATATTTCTTATGGGGAATAGTTGATGATTAATTGTTGTGTTATTAATTATTATAAAAATTAATTGATGATTTATATGCGTATGTAAATTACTTGCATAATATAAATAGTGATGTATGATTGAATGTGTGCATATCATACTTGTTATGTTGAGGTGGTCTTATTGGTGATGTACACAGTCAGAAGGGGGGTCGATTATGCATATCATATTCGCATTTTATTGTTGAGGTCATGCATCATGGTGTGTGTACTTCAATTTAATTTTGGTGTGCTCTGGTCCAGAGGAGTGGATCGAGAGGGAGTAGCTGATTCCATTGAGGAATCAATGAAGCATTACTAAAAGGAGATTAGTTACGATTTGGTGTGCTCTGATTCCTAAGAGAGAATTAGGAGTGAGTATTGACCTTTGTTTTCCATAACGGTACCACATGCATTTAGAGTCGAGATATTAAGTACATTTACATACATGTCTGCATATGTAATTGAATAATCATGATGTTGTTGAATGGTTGAGAATACTTGATGTGAATTTGATGATTATGTGATTATTCTACCATTACTTTGTCTTACACCGCTAACATACTTTAAGTGTACTCTCACTCCCTTTTTGTTTTATTATGGTGTTTGTGCTCCTATGGAATACAAACGAGCAGGGTAAGGAGTAACTACTAATAAGAAGGTTTGAATATAGAGTCCATGCATAAAATTAACGTACTTTCTTTATTGATTTTATAATAGATTAACAGTGTTCTAATCGGTTGGGATAGTGTTTTAATTAATTGGTTGGTCAGAAAAAGTTTTTTTCAATCGATTGGCACATCTTTCCAATCGATTAGATAGTTAAAAAAATTCTTGGATAATTTTTTAATAACTTTTTTTGGCTAGAAAATAATTTTGAAATATATTTTAAGTGTGTGTGTGTGAGTTGCCTTAGTATTTTAAAAGTTATGACTTTTACAAAACTCTAGTTCACTCACACAGACCGACATACATGACCTGACGAGCTTAGTTTCTATTAGAAGCTTCAAAACTTTTGTTAGAGGGTTTCTGATTGCACAATCACTCGATATTTAGTCATTTTGTTAATGAGTAAGATGCTTTGGTTGTATTATCATCATCAAGGTTGAAAATTATTGCCATGCGTTGTCGTCATCAAAACTCCATATGTGAATCTTTATCACCTATAAGCACATTGATCCACAATAATTGTGCCATCTATATAAGTGTTACTATGAGTTTCACCTCAGATACACTCTCATGCAAAATTGCAAACTTCCATATCATTGACACTGACTTGACCGTAAGTGTTAACATTTTTGTAGATACTTTTTCGATCACCAGAGAACTATCACCACTAAACCAGAAACATTTTCATGGATCTTGTCATCAACCTATCATCAATTATAAGTTTTATTACAGAATAATTGTCATAATCATTCCTTGTCATGATCATAATGTATATGTTTTAAGTGTTCACATTATGCTTCTCATAATGTAACCAATATTTCTAAGTGTATTGAAATGTTTCGATCTTCTCGAAGATATTGTAGTATGATGCTAAGAGTTAAAGACTTGTAATCCTCTTCCAATTAAAAACCGAGGTCAAGTTCCTTAACACACGACCTTTTAATTTTTTTTAACTAAATATATTCCCTCGATTTTTTGGTTCTACCGATATGAAATATCTCTCAGGGTTTAAGCTTCAATTCCCAGCTCCTGCAATATTGCGTATTATTTAGAACTAAAATGGTGCCATTATTTTATTTTATTTTTTAATTACAAAATAAATCATTCATTCCCTCAGTTTTGTCGAAAATGTTGCTCATTATTTTATTTAATTAAATTAACCTCAGTGTTTACTACAAACCGAGATATAAAGTTTAAACAATGTTTTATTTCAACATCTGAATGTTAGCTCTCATTTACTTCGACATTTCTCATAAACCTTTTTCTCCCTAGTGAGCGAACGAAAAATCATTCTTTATCTTTCCACTAAACCTTAAACCAAAATCCATATTCCAATTCGAACAAAGTAAACAAAATAGGAAGGAAACTCGAATAAAGAAACTTGAACCTCAAACCAACACATTTCATCATGTTTGCGGTACGTAAAAATTTCTCCATGATTGTACCAATAATGTTGTGGTTGTTGTTGTTATTATTGCTTTAGTTTTTGAGAATTAGGGTATAAGGTTTTTGTTGTTTTTGTAGCTATTGTGTAAAGATTGAACTTTTAGGGTTATTGTTATTTTGTTGAGATGTAATGTTCATTGTTGTTGTTTGTGTTCAGTTTTTATTTTATTTTCAGAAGATACTTGAATATGGATTGTAATTGGATAAAATCCAATATATTAAGTAAAGAGTTTTGAGAATGAAGTGATTCAATATCTTGAATTCTCGAAAATAAACCTTCCTGGCGATAATTTAATTTTTTTATTGTCCTTGTTAAATATACCGAAATACGCAAAAACATTGAAAGGAATAAATATTTAATGATTTAGGTTATGATAGAATTATTCAAAATTATACGAAATGGGTATGGCATGGTGAAGTGACAAAAAAAACCCGTGTCACATAGAGATAGAGTTGATTAAGATATGAATGATAACCTAGAAGATATTATTCATGATATTATATTAGATTATTTTAAGAAAGTCCATGTGTATGATACTTTACATAGTGACATAGAAAAATGTTTATTTCTGGGATGAAATGTTTTTTAAAGATTGTCAGTTGTGTTAATACTATTTGATTTTAAGGGGAAAAATGGGCAGACAAATAGAAATTTCACTCAATTGCTTGATTTGTTGCAAGAAATACTTCCAGAAAGTAAGACATTGTCGAACTGTAGTTTTGAGGCCAAGAAGATATTTCATTCAATGGGTTTGAACTATGTCAAAATACATGAATGTTATAATTATGGTATATTATACAACAAAAGTATGAAAACTTGAAGGAGTACCCGAGGTTTGGAGAGTCACGTTACAAGCGGAAGGACAAAGGTGCTGAAAATGACAATGATGTAATTAGAAATGGTGTTTTTGGCAAGGTTATGTGATACCTACCAATAATACAAAGATTTAATAGATTGTTTGCCAATAAAAACTATACAAAAATATATTAGATGGCATACAAATAAATTAATATATGATAGAAAAATTTACCATATACCTGATTCATTGCAATAGAAGAAAATTGATTCTTTTTTTATAGATTTTTCTCTTGAGGCAATGAATATTAGGCTTGGACTTGGAACCGACATAATGAATCTATTTAGTAATATGAATACTAACCATACTCCATGCCATGTTCTTCTCATAATTTATAATTTATATTCGTTGTTGTGCATGAAGCACAAATATATGATGTTATCAATGATGATTTCGCGTCTAAATCAACCAGAAAATGAAATTAATGTTTATTTAACTGCATTAATTAAAAAATTGAAAATTTTGTGGGAGGAAGACGTTATGTTGATGATGTGTATACATGTGATAATTTTAATATGTGTTCTATGTTGTTTAGCACAATCAATGACTTTCCTACGTACTGTAATTTCTTTAGGTACAATATTAATAGACATAAAGCATATCCTACATGTGAAGATGATACATGATCCTAGCAACTGCAAAATGGAGAAGACTTTTAATGGGGATAAGCAGTTTAATATCTCTCCAAAGCCCTTAACTGAGAAGAAAGTTTATAAAATACAACACATTAATGTTGTGTTTATAAATAACCAAAAATGTCCCATGGAGAAAAATATTTAGAAAAAGAAGTCATTGTTCTTTGATCTTTTATATTTGTCTAGCCTCGGTGTAAGATATTGTCTTGATGTGATGCATGTGGACAAAATTTACGCGATTGTTTGATTTGAACAATTATCAATATTAAAGGTAAGACAAAAGTTAGTAAGAATACCATCTAGATATGGAGATGACAGGAATACGACAAGAGTTAGGCCCTAAAGAAATAGAAAATATAACATAACTTCTAACATGTCACACTCTATCTATAAAAGAAGTAAAAAATTTACAATTGTTTGTAGTGTATCAAAGTTCTTAAATGGTAATCATCTAATGCGAAGAAACTTGAGTCAATTAAAGATATCAAATTAGAGTGGGTTTAAAATCTCATGATTGTCATGTCT